GGCATCCACAGCTTCTCTAGGCAACCTGTCCCAGTGCCTCACCACCCTCTCCAGGAAGAACTTCTTCCTGATACCCAATCTAAGCGTCCCCACTTTCAATTTAAACCCGTTACCCCTTGTTCTGTCACTACAGGCCCTTGTAAAAAGTCCCCCCCAGCTTCCTTGTAGCCCCTTCAGGTACTGGAAGGCTGCAATAAGGTCTCCCTGGAGCCTTTTTTCTCCAGGCTGAACAAGCCCAGTTCTCTGTGTCATGTCAAACTTGCTGAGGGGGCACTTGATTCCACTGTCCGTGTCACTGACAAAGATGAGCAGAGAGTAGATTTAGATTAGATACAGGAGGAAATTCTTCCTGGAGAGGGTGGTGATGCACTGGAACAGGTTTTCCAGAGAAGCTGTGGATGTCCCCTCCCTGGAAGTGTTCAAGGCCAGGCTGGATGAGGCTCCGAGGAACTTGATCTGGTTGAAGGTGTCCCTGGCCATTGCAGGGGGGTTGGACTAGGTTGGAAAGGACCTTTAAAGATGATCTAAACTATTCTATGTGTGGTGTTGGTGCAGAGGAACCTAGAGCCTAGTAAAACGGGTAGCACAAAAAATCCCTTAAGTAGTTTGGAAAACACTGACCTGAATGTCTGAAGAGCATCTCTGGGACAAGGGCTGCTTTTTCCAAGCTAGAGGTGGTTTGGAAGGAAAGCAGTGTTGTCATGTGAACAGGGCATGCGACATTAGCTCTATGAGCTGCTGTTTAATAGCTTGTGTTTATCATGCTTTTTCATTTGAATGACTGTTGCAAAAGATTCTGTTTGCATGTGAGGAGGTATTTAAAATGGGGGAACAAATCCTCTATCCACTGAGTTTTGATTTTTATGGGGGATTTCATTTTGGAAAATAGAGTACTAGTAAATTTCTAGGACTAAAATCTTTTGTAACTGTCTTGTTTTATTATTACTGGAGAGACTGCTGTTCATGCACATCAAGACAAATCATGGGCTGTAGAAGATTTGACAAACTATCTACGAAGTCGACTGCCCCTTTCCCTCTAATGTCTTTCCTCCTTTCTCCTCTCTCCTTGCTTCTGTGCTTTCTTTTTTTTTGTTTGATTTTTCTCTCTCCTTTTCTCATGCTCAAACTAAATGATCGTTTCAGACAAGCATCACAAAAAAGCTGTTTTGTAGATTAACACAGACTCTGCTTTTTCATTGACTAGCCTGTAACAGCTAATGTGATTTGCACTTCTGTTTACCAGCTTTCTATTATTAGACCCACCATACTGGGACCAATATGCAGGTAACTATTAGTCACCAGTGGAGCTGCTAATTGTGTAGATTAATTAATCATTCCAATTGCATTTGTCTCCAAACAGAGATGTGATTAAAGCAAGGAAAAAAAAATCTCTGCCTGGCTTATCTTTTGAGAATGAGTGACTTTTTTATCAGGTAGCACATCATGCTAATCAGATGCCTGGTTATTAATGCTCAGATATCACACCAAACACTGAAGTGGGAGGGCAACAGCTATTCCTGTCAATCCGCCTGCCATTAGTCATCATGCTGAACACTTCCATCTCAGACAGCTCCCGGGCTGTTGCCAAGGTGCTGGGCAGTACCTTCACATTGAAGCAGTTTCTGGCCAGATTATTGGCAAGGTGAATTGGCTGGTTCTTATAAAATGCCTCTTCCGCTGCTGGCACATGTGTCCTGTTCCTTTAGCCCAGGAATCTGTTCTTCAGACTTATTAGTCCACACAACGTGCTCCAAGCTCTCCATGTCTAGCTGGAATGTGGCCATGATCTCCATCCTGTTTAGTAATACAAGAGGAGCAACATGGTTATAGTCATTGAAATTTGTTCAAAACCAGGTTGAGAATCTAGGGCTGAAGACAAATGTAGGGTCTGTCCCTGACTAATTAATCTCTGTTTTTATTGGTGCCTGTCCTGTAAAGCCTGAATGGCTGTGAAGTGACAGAGCCATGGCCTAGCAGAAAGAGATGTGCCCTTTTTAGTGCTGGAAGTCAGACAGAGGGACATGTTCATCGTCTTCCAAACAAAATACCAGGAGTGAAGGCATTCCATAAGCTCTAAGTTTGGTTCAGTGACATTGCTTCTTATCAGGTTGTAAGCTGCTGCCAATCCCAACCCACAAAAAGGAAAAAGAAAAAGCTGAGTGTGCATCAGCTGACATGGGCATTGCTCAGGAATAGTGCAACTTTTAAAAGCCTTTTATTATCAAGCTGTAACAAAGCTGCTTTGTACCATAAATAGAAAGAACTAACCTGCTTCCCCTCTGTGTCTCAGGTGGGTCAAAAAAGTTCCTTCCTTCCTTGTTCACAGCACTCCCCAGGGCTCACTCCTTTGTGTGGGAGGCAAGTTAAAAACCACGAATAAGACAGAGAGGAAAGCCCTCTACCCCTCTGTGCATGGGTCATGTAGCTTATCACAGCAGATTATGGCCTTCCCTCAGTCTCACCTGGGGATATTTGCATCTCTGCTGATGCCTGGGGAAGGTAATTCCCTACTCTCAGTTCAGAAGTGCCCTTTAGCCAGTGGTTGCTAAACCAGGGGAGACTTGAGGTAGAAATCCCATACAGTGTGCTTTGCTAAACCCTTCCCACTGGGTCAAATACGTTGTGGGTATGTTCAGTAGAAATGCAAGTAGGTCCTTACTTCCAGTAGCCAGAATTATGCTTTGAAGGTTGATACTCATATCACTGTCCATTTGTATCTGGCCAGGAGCTTTTGATTTGCTTGTTAAAGCCAAGGCTGTGCAGAGCTGAGGGAAGAGGAAACCTAGCTTAGGTGAAAAGTTCCAGCATCGTTTTGTCTGTCTTAAACCAAATGAATTACAGCAAACCAGGGTAATGTGTTCCAGGCGCTGCCTGGAGATTTTCATTTTACTTCCCCATGTACCGAGTCTCTTGAACTTATCCATAGCCCTGGCTCATAGCTCAGACATGCCTCAGCTCCAGCAACATGAATGTCCTTTTGTTGTTCTTTGCAGTCCTTTTTGCTGACATACATCTTGAATTGTGTCAAGCACACTGCCTCCCCAAGTCAAAACAGCTGCATCTTAGAGAGAGGGAAACCTTCAAAGAGAAAACAAACACACCCTCTCTGTAGTCTATTGGTAGTAACAGATAATTAAGTCTAAAAGTTTCAACAGAGGGAAGACATTTATTGCCAGGCAAAGCCCAACAGCATTGTAGGAAATGTCTTTTGTGTTGCCCTGAATGCAGCCCTGAGTCGAAGAACTGTGGTGGTGATTTGGTAAATGTTTACATTCTTTCAGTCTTAAAGGTAATCAGCCGCACTGTTGATGGGAACCTAGAGGATATAAAAGACTGAAATCGAACCGTATCAAGCCATTTGAACATAATCTTTTTTATCTCTGCAGGCATTTCTTCACCGGATCCGCCAGAATGCTGTGGACAAAGCCGAGAAGTACATAACAGAGGAGAATGTTAAGGTATTTCTTCTATCTTCCTCATTTTCTTGGTAGGGAAAATGATACGTAATGAGAGGCTAGACTGAGGGATATGAATATCAAATATCCTCATGTCATATTGATGCTTATTATTAAACTGGCTCCCGAAGGAAAAGAGGCTCATGTTGACAGTTTATCTGTCAATCTGTTTGCCCATTTGTATAACTGTCATCTTCCAGCAATTTTTTTTATCACACCAACTAATTTCAGTAAAATTTGACAACAGTGTAGTGTTGTCAAAGATACTAAATTTTGGAAAGGTTATTGAAATGGTGGGTGGAGGACAGAGAGGCCTTTTCAGTGTCTTTGAGACGAAAAGCAGGGAATGCACAGCCCTTGTCTATTTTTCTTGACGCTATTCAGTTAACCAGTTTCATCTGATGTCTTTCAAAAATCTACAACTGATAGGGCTTGTGAGGAAGAGGCAGGAATATTCCTTTGTGTTCCTAGTGGGAAGGAGTTCAGTTCTTGTGGGGGGATTAGGTAGCAGGAGACCCTTGCATGAGGAGGTTCCTCAATGAATTTTGCACTGGAAAGAGATGCGAGACACAGAACACTGAGCTGTGATATACTAGCTTCTCTGGTGCTTATGGTCAGAGGAGGCCTTGTTGTTGGTTATTTTCATAAATACAAGCAACACTTTCTTGTAGTAATTTGGCTAAATAACTCTCCTTGTGCACATACAAATGTGAAACTAAAACCCCCTTTATACACACATGCTAGTGAAATCTGATGATCGGTGGGACAGGGTGCAGTTTGTTTGCCTTTAGAGGCTGGCTTGCTGGGCTTGCGCTTGATCCTGTAGCTCCTAAACCAGCGGAAACTTCGCCCTTTACACTCGTGGGAGCAGGGTCCAGCAATAGTAGGTATATCGCACCAGTCAGCACTACTGCAGCTGGCATGCCGTTCCCCAAGGCTGCTGCCTCCATGCCAGGTGCTAGTGTTACCTGAACATATAGAGATCCCAGCAGGGCTCTAGCCCCAGTGCTTCCTATTCATTCTACAGGCTAGCAATACTGCAGCATCGAGTGGCTGGCATCAGGAAGCGCTGGTAGCGGGATGGCTTGGCAGCTTTTTGGTGCTAAGCCTCTTAGTAGCTTCAAATTTGGAAGTCCCTGCTCCCCAGACACTCACCACCTAGAAGAAAAAGTAGACAAGCCATTAGTGACAATAGGTCTCCTGTGCAGAGAAGTGGGCAAAAAGTAAGCTCTGCATGAGAGAGAAACCTGCACAACCATTTGCCAATTTGGTGAACAGCCTCATATGTTGAAAGTTGTTACTCTATTACTATTTGTGTATCATCAACATGGGTATTGATTGTGACTGCCATGTAATCACATGCAGTGCCCACAAAGCCTGTGCAGAAGAATCCATATTTTCTCTGCTGATTTAAATGTATTTGTATTTGAATTTCATCACACTCCTCTGGGAAAGTACCGCTTCATTTCTGTGTCATTCATGAAGTGCCTGGGGGATCTTTTTGAGGCCACTGTGAGACCTCATTTATTCTTATTATTACAATACCTAGCTTTCAGTAACAGACCACCTCTCAGTAATAAAGGGCCTATGCCTGTTGCTGGTGAATTAGAATCAGAAAGGCACAATTTTCCTGTGCAGGATCAATATTATCTCCCTCTACCCCAAATAATTTCTTTGTCTTTCCTGCAGTTGAAAGATAGTTGTTCTTTCCCTCTCCTTTTTCCATCCTTGCTGGTGGAGGCAGGACAGGCAAGGTGGTGCTGGGACTTCTGATAACTCTGCCTGCTAATATTATGTATCTCGAGTCACCAGAGAGATGTGAGGTGGCTGGTAGCAGAGACTGTATAAATGGTTTGGCAGCTTATATAAGGAGAACTCTGTGTTTTCCTCTCTTTCTTCATGCAACAGAAATGTCTAGAGGAAAATACAGGGTATTCTGGCAGTCACTCACCTCTGAGCAAAAGGAGAAAGTACTCTTTAGGGTAATTTGGGTTATTGCTCCCATTATTAATTTTGCAGGTTTCTCCTACAGCTGATGCTAAGCACTAGAGATTTCAGTAATTTTTGGCCACTGTATCCCCCTTTCAGAAAGGCCACATTGAGTCCTGTGCCAGGCCCAGATTTTACAAGTACTCCAGTGACTAACAGCTGCAGCAATATCATTAAAAATGTTTTTAGTTTATTCAATGCACTGTGTTGAATAACTATTGATATATTTTAGTCTTCCGCTCCATTCACAATAGGGCACTGATGTCTACTGATACAGTAGATGGAAGGCAGTACAACTTGGGGGTGTATGCAAGCTGCCAGACGAAGATCCTTGAATGAGGCTTATAAATGGTGACTGCGTTTGATACAGAAGCACATGCAGTCAAGCTCTCTGCTGCCTTGATTTTCAAGAAACTCTTCTTATCTGTGAAATCTGCTGCAAGCAGAGCTTTACCGACCACCATGGAGTTCATGAGATTACACAGATATTTCTTGGATCCAAAAATACCCCCCAAAGACTGTTCCTGATGGATAAAATCATCCCTGACAGATGTTTTCCTCTTCCTTGTTAATCCCTTTTGGCACAGCTTCTGGCAAAGCCATGCAGACAGAGGCTACTGTGTCATCACATCAGTTTCAGCCATGTGACAGAACCATCCTATGCTCTGCTTGAATTAGCATAGGAATGGTTCTGGAAGCAATCAAATGGTCCTAGCTCCCTGTCCCTTACTTTGGTTCAGAGCCCAACAGTGCAAATTCGGTGTGTTGGAATCTTTTAGTTTATTCAGAGCTAGAAAGGAGCTATGAGGCACAAGTATGCATTAATGATGGTGCATTCTACCATATCTCAGTATTCCTGAAATGGAAGGGGAGCAAAGACAAGGAAGATATAACAGATTCTGTTCTGCACATGCAGCCAACTTGCAGGAGGAGTTTGAGAGAAATACTCTGCCGCCCCTTGAGTATCAGCAGGTATAAAGTTGAACCTTGGTAGGCTCCTTGAATTCCTGATCTTTACCTCCGTAAAACAAAACTGATTTTAAACCAGGAATTAAAGTTTCATTCCTGTCTCTAATGATTAGAGTTAATTTACAGACTATTGTTTTTCTGAATTACTGCCATGTCACCAGCCACCAGACTGACCCAGTGTCACATCTAGTGAATAAAGCTTAGTGTTGTGGTAAGATGCTTTGGAAAGTGTCGGAAGATGTTAGATTCAATCACTTCCCACACTGAATGTCAGGAGGATGAAGGGCTGGCTCTGGCAGGCTGCACACTTTGGGGTTCAGAGGAGTGTCACGAACTCTTTGTGCAAGACCTGGGAGGCTGCTTCCAGTGTGGAAGCTGGTTTGACTGCACTGCAGATCTCCTCATTGCAAGCGGCATAGTTAAAATGAAGCGATAGAAAATGCTGTTTGCAATACGTATGTCACTGCAGACTCCAGGATTTGCTCTGCCCCTTCAGGCTTTCCTCCTGTGGCCGTCAGTACTGATGGCTGTGTCACCACACATCAGGACTTCTCCCCCTGTGTGTATAACGTTCCACATCCTACATCTGTATTCACACTTTCATATTCTGTATGAAAACGATTAAGACTTATAAAGCTTATGTGTTTATAGCAGCTTTCACCCTGGCAGTTTATACCTGTTAGCACATGTACATTCAAATCGCTAGGGCTCGTTTAGCTGTGAGATTGCAGAATTACTTTTTAGAACGCGTCTGAACTGGGGGCCTCTGTCCCATTACATGCGCCTTTTAGAACACTGAGATTGGTGAAAAGGAACTCTAAATCGCTGCTCTTGTGGCTTGCCAGCATTTTGTGCTATTCTGTACTCCTGTCAGTGAAATGCTAGATCCCATGGGATGGGGATTTGGTCTCTTTTTTAGGTATATTTTTGTGTGTGATTTCTTCAAGTCCCTTTCTTCTAGAAAGTGATTTCTCAAGCATGGGAAAGAAAGGCAAATGCTTCCTTCTTCTATCTCCTGCAAAGTGAGTTTAGTCCTTGTGATTCCATTCACCTGGTTGGTCTCATAGGAAATCTTCTCTAGATTTGAAAGAGGCTGCTGATGTGCATCACGCTCAGGTATCTGGAAAGATAACCTTCAGTTACAGCAGGTATTTCAGTAGCAATAAAGATTTCCGCACGGGGCCGGGAAAGGGGCAAATACAGTGTAATTCATTCTGTATGGGTCTGTCTGCACTTTAGGTCCTATCACAGTAAGTCTAGGGCCAAAATATTTTGATGCTACTACTTTAACGAAACAGTTATATTAACAGCTAGCGATGTTTTTATATTTCAGATCTTGTTTTCTAACATCGAAGACATTCTTGGTGTTCACAAGGAGTTCCTGGCTGCTCTGGAATTTTGTTTACAACCAGAACCTCAGTCTCAGCATGAACTAGGAAATGTTTTCTTAAAATTTGTAAGTACAATGACTTAACGCTATCTGAAAATGCAGTTTCCTGCCGAAAGCTCCCAAGCCCCTTAGCTAGTCCTAATCTCTAAGGCTTGTGGCAATACTATGACAATGTGTGTCTTGTATGAAAGTTGTAGCTAGGGTGGGAAAAAACTTGTGAATGAGGTTAGAACAATGGAAACTACATCAAACTCGGCCAAACAACAAGCTATTTTTAGAAACCTTTCCTATTCCCATTGAATATTTTTTTTCCTTTTTTTTCTCACCCAGCTGATCACATTTTACAGCTGAGAATTTGTCGGCTGTGGTTCCAGATGTTTTAAAACAGCAACACAATTTCAAGTAAATGAGTAATTTTGGTGTGCATTTTAAAATGAAAAAAAAATAGTTAAAATCTTTCTGTGGTAGATTGGTTGTTAACTTGGCCTGATTTTCAGTCCTCTATGTGCGCCAATCTTTGACTAATATGCACATAGACCATACTGTATATGCAAGATCCGTTACTACATACACCTAGTTACAAGCTGGGCTAATTTAAATGCAGAGTTACCTAATTTACATGTATAATAATATGAAGTTACACGTTTTTTTCACTTGGAGCAGCCCTCCTGAGATGTTTGAAAATTAGAAATCACGTACGTAACAGCCATTTCTTCAAATTCTTATTAACTGTATTAAGCCACAGGCCACTTTCCTATCAAAATATGTTCTGTTATGCTTTCGTAATCAAAATTCATGCTTTCACAGTTCATCAGGTTTGAGCAGACAGCAATTATACAGCCATTCATTACTCATAGAGCTTTACCAACTACCCACCCTTGTTTAATTCCTATTTATGCTGTGAAAATTACTAAAATAGTGTCAGAAACTATTATATTGAGACCATGGCCAAAAATTTTATCAGATGTGACTGATGGTCAGCTGCTGAAAAACACACTGGTGAGCTTAAAGCCTTGAATACCCACCAGAATCATTGCCTACTAACAAGATGTGCTGTACTAATATGTTAATATTCATTAGTGAGGGTATGAAAATTAGAGGGCTTTTGAGTGATGCTGTCAAATTGTCTACTGTGTTTCGGAGGTGCTGAATAACCAGAAACGTTAACATCCTGTCATTTGACTGAGTTCAAGCCTGGTATAGGTAGTTATTGGTAGTGTTTTTGTATATGAACATAAAATTTTATAACTTTATTATTGTTAAGTTTAATTATTTAATGGTCCTTGTTTATCAAACATGCAACAGTACAGGAATTATGAAACTGTAATGGATACGGATGAGTGCTGGTGAGAATTTGTCTTCTGATAGAGGCAGTCTGACTGAGATCAGCTTCCATTGCTGTCTGTGGAGTGCATTGCAAATAATGTATACATCAACTCTTTCATGATCCCCTAGGGAAGAAGCAGCTTATGCAGAAGGAAGTAAAACATACTTTCAATTCAAAATATATAAAAAAAGCTGCCCTCATCCATAATTAACTTAAGAAAATGTAGGAATGCTATTAGGAGCATTGTGGTGTCTGAGTAAGGAACAATTAAGAGAAGATTATCAAGAGAGGAGGGAATAATTTGTCCTTACGTGCAGATTGTGCCTGAGTTTTAGAAGACAAGCTTCTCTCTGGGTGTTTAGGAGTGAGGGAGGTGGGGTTTGTGCCCTGTCACAGTAAAAGCTTCTATAGTGAGTCTCCAGCAGTGACAGAGAGATGCCAGTAGTGACTGTGGTTCAGAGTGAGTCTTCTTTTCCCTTCTGCTGAGGCTGCCAAAGCTCCATTTCCCGACTGGGGCTGTTCTCATGAAGCAGAAGCATTCATCAAGACCCCTGTGCCTCAGAAACAGTACTCCTGAAGGTGTTTCTGTGGTGCTGAAACCAGTTGGTTTTTTAAATGGTGTACAGTATTTTTCCACCAGGAGCAGCCCTTGGAGCACACTTGAGGTTTCCTGGAGAAAACCCAACCATTCTCTTCCAGTGATGTGTTCCTGCAACATGGCTGAAGAGCTTTTGTCAGAGTGCACTTTGTTAGCCACTTTACCCAGGGAAAACATGGGTAACATCTGTCTTTGGCCTTTCATTTTGGGTAAGATTCTCTAGTTGTTGCCATGCGCTGAGAAGTACTAGGAAGAACACCCTCAGGGCTGCTTTTCCATAATGATCAAATCACGGTGGATCCTCAGGGGAGTTTGTGGTGAGAAAGTGACAAAGGCCTGTGAATCTTGACTGTAGCAGTGCATCTTCTGTCATGGTCATCTGGCAAGGTCGTTCTTAGTCCTGGTTACGAACATGGTCCTTGTCGGCAGTCAGATGTTAGCCCAGGTGATTTTCTTCAGAAAACGCTCATAAACTTGGTGAGTAGCTTGAGAATTCTTGAAGCACTGTTTTATCCAAAAACTGCATTTCTTAGCGGTGCATATTTTCCTTGTGTCATATATATCATTGATAGAGATCCCCAGATTCCCACCAGACTGCAGCGTTTGGGTCCTGTTCATGAGATCTGTGTATCCTAAATTTACTCTAAGCTATGTAGGCCTCTCTTCCTGGTTTAGCTTGGCCTACAAGAGCCTCACTCAACAACAGTCCGCCAATCTTTAGAAACAGGACATCACTTTGAATTGTTATGAGCCTCATGGATCAGAGTTGATCCATTTAAATGCCAGGACCTTCAACTCTGTATCTCCAGCTCGGGAGAAACTAAACCATTCTCGATCTTGAGTAACACCTGAAGCAAGCCAGCAGATTTTTCAAGGGTTCCAGCATTGCACATTGACTTTCTGAAGTATTTTAACAAGTGATGAAATGCACTTGCTTTGATGTTTAGGTGCTCCCTTCAGCAGACAGACATTGTTTGCCCTCGTGTACTCCATTTGATCAGATGATCATGAGAAGTTCATTGCCTGATGCTGGGTGCTACAGTTCTGGAGTTGTGGTTCAGTATGGCCTGACAGACAGGAAAGAACATAGTTAAACATTCATTCAAAATCAAATCTGCAGCCTTAAACAGAAGAATACGTAGAAGAAATCTTTAACATCAAAGAGAGCTATACGCCAAACTTGGAATGATCATGCCTCATCAGCCTAGGCGCTTCTGTGCAGGTCATGAAAACATGTGACTGTCTGCAGAGCAGAAGGGCAGAGCATTGACAGATGCTTCATTTCTGATATTGCCATATTGCTAAAGGTTTGATGATGTAAGAGCTAGAAACTTGTTCAAGGGAAATGTGTTTTCTTCTAATTTTTAGGAGTGATGTTGCATGAGTGATCAGTTTTACTGTCTAAGTCATCAGGGGTCTTGTTTTATTGAGTTGTATTTTCTGATTCGTTTAGGTTTTTCATGTTGACAAAGTCAGTTTCAGCCTGTTTTGAAACACGAAAATGCCATGCCTTGTTAAAGATATGCCCACATAAAATCGTTACAATTTTCCAAATGTCTTATTTTCTTTTTCTAGTCAACACTGTTTTCAGATTAGTATGTGGGCAGTTCTAAGGGACCAAAAATAACATATTTGGAGAATAAACTATTGGTTAAAGATTTATTTTAACCAAGCTAAGGACAGTATAGACTTATTTCTGTCACCAAAATCAGAAAGTCTAGCTGCATATACAGAAGATTTGCTGAGTAAGAAGGTGCCATTTTTATGTCGCATCTCTGACCATAACTGCACTTTAATACAGAGTAATTGCAGGTTCAGAATTCCTGGGCTAACATGTGTAATTATGTAACTGGTAATTTCCTCACCAGGAGATGGGAGAGCCCAGGACTGAATGTCACCCAGAGAGGAAATTAAACACTTCAGACACTGAGTAATTTAAAGCATAGTTCTCATATTTGTGGGGCTCATGCATGAAGGACAGCTGGAAAAGACTTGATGAAAGCACTCTGGTGTGTGTATAATTATTGTACTGACTTGAGCTTTAGCAAAGGGATTTTGTCATGTTCTAAATATAACCTCCCAAAACTCCAGGCACTCAAAGCTGCAGTCAAAAACCTGAGCAATGACATTTTGTGTGCATTGATGTAACGGATGCTGTTGTGTTAATGGTTACTATTTTTAGTTTCAAGCATACTGCTTGTGTGCATCCAGGGAGCTGAGGAGAGGTGAGAGGAGGAAATGTAAGAGAAACTCGTATATCTGTCATCTTATTTTGTAATTCTCCAGTTTTTATGGTTAAAAACAATCCCATGCCTCTCAATTGTCTCTTTTCTATTGTGCTATGGACCCAGCCCTGCCTTTTCCTGCATCTGGTGGTCAGAAGCCTTTGTTTCTTGTCAGCCTCCCAGTATTAAACTCCAGTACTAATATGAACAGATGCAGATGAAGGTTAAGTCTTGAACATCTGCATTCCAGCTTTTTGCACCAGACTCTGTGGCTGTTGTTTTATTTGCTTTGTACCATTGTTGTTGTGTTTGGACATGGATCTATTTATTCTCAATTATTCTTTTGGAAGCACAAAGAGACAAAACCAAAATCATCGTATTAGTGATAAACCAACCCAAAAGCATTCTGCAGTCTCTGAGCATGTATATCTGGCAATTGAACATCTGATCAGATTGTCAAATTCTCCTGAACTACTATTAATACAATTGATTTTCCATGTGACAATAGTGAAGGGAATGCCCAGTGACTAAATCTGTATTCCAGTGGATTCCTGTTACTTAACTCCTTCAGTTGAGAGTTTTGTTTGTTTGGATCACTATGAGCTGTCTTAAAAGTAGGTAGATTCTGCAGATAGTTACAGCTAACACAGGAAGCTCTGCATCTCTGAAGAGTGCTAGGACTCCAATCAAAACTCAAAAAAATTAACTTCCTAATTCTGGGGAGATAAAAACATTCAGATAGAATGTGTTCAGGCTGGGATCCCAAGTGGAAATGTAATGCTGTTGAATGCCACCACAAACTCTGGAGGGCATTGTGCATGGTGCCCCGAGATGCCAGCTCTGGAAGGCTTTGCATATTACCCCTGGCAGGGTGCCACGCTAATGCATCTAAATTACTTTTGATATGCAAAGTAGCTGGTCTCACAGCTCTGCAGGGCACTGCATTGTGGCATAGGACCCGGCCTGAACCAGGAAAGAAACTACTGTTGTGAGGAGCGCCCAAAAAATGGTGGGTCTTTTTGGCTTCTGAATCATTTAACCTGACTAAAGCCTAGTACAGTCTCTTGACCTCTCTTTTATTCCAGTGAATGCAATACTGGAATCTCGTAACATAGCTGCTGAAAGCTCAGCCCTTCCCAACAGCCTTGGAAGGATCAACTCGCTCCTTGCCTGAGCTGCTCAGGCATGGATATAGTTGTTACTGCTTCTTCAGTGAATCAGTTCGGTGCTTCCAGATAGCTGATATTTGCAATGGGTCAGTATCTCTGATCATTTTATTTAGAAGAAGTTGCACTGTCTTTGATTCTGAAGATCAGTAAAGCAGAACTTGGTGCTGCCAGCTGACCCTTGTTTCTTAACAGGGGATTTCATTCCACTGCATGTGCTGGTGGGTGTGACATGTTCCAGTGTAAGTACCTCCATCTAGTTGTGAAGCTACCTTTCCCTTCCTTTGATTTCTGTACTGTGTTGGTTATTTTGTGTGTATTTGATGAAATTCTTCCATTTAAGGAAGCTGTTAGGGACAGCTGACCCACAGTTCAGTGTTGCATTGAAACTGTGTTCTGAAACAAACAGTAGGCTTCACTAAGTGATCTAGCCAACTCACCAGGGGTTCCCCCCAGCCCTGAAAGGCAGGGGATTTCCAGCTGGTTGCTTTGTGTTTATAGTTCCCCTCCAGATCTCTGAGCTTCTTCCAAGCCTTGGTTTGTCCCAGCCACCTCTTTCTTCCTCTTGCCGGAGTGGTCAGCACAGCTCAGAAATGTCAGTCCCCTTGCTCCTGGCTTTACTCGGCTCCTGGCCACTCTGCCAGACTATCCTGACTCATGTACAAGTATCCCTGAGATAGCAAAATCCATTCTTTCAGCAAAAAGCCCTATTATTTTAGTGATGCATTGAGAAGAAAAATGCTGGAAGTCTCTGTGCTTAGGAAGCTGATATTAACTTAGAATGGACTAAGTTAGCAGTTACTGAAACACCTCTACGCATTATTCACATTAGAGGAGTATCACGCGCTTCATGGAAACTGCAACCCTAATGCCACTCTTGAGTGCACACCCCATTGAAAGAATTTGGTATCAGACTGTGACAAAACAGTCACTTCAGTTCTGTCTGAGTCAACAAGTTACTATGTTTTTCCTTGCAGAAAGACAAATTCTTCGTGTACGAGGAGTACTGTAGCAACCACGAGAAAGCACTCAGACTGCTGATGGAATTGAACAAGATCCCAACAGTGAGAACATTCCTCCTGGTAAGCACCTTCTCTAGCACTCTTAACTTAATGATCTGACTGCACTGTACTCATAACAACCCTTAGGTATCCTAGGAACGCTGAGCATTTTGCAGACATTACCCATTCTAGGTATGCAGCACTCAGGATGAATAGATACTGAAGTCACTGAGTTCAGGCACAGAACTAAGCACAGCTCTGGTATGAGTGAATTCAGTGGAAACAGGGAAGATTTTTTTTCAAAGAAGCAACAGGAAAATTTGAGCAGAGATTGTGAAAGGAGTAATGCAATAAGTCAGCAGCAGGAGTGTGACTAGTTCCCAGGGGATCTGATTCCCTGCTCAGTTCTCTGACCAATTCACCACCTGCAGACCCACCAAAAAAATGTGGCCTGTTTCTGACACCATTTTCCCCATGAGTCCAGTTGTGGGCAAGAAATCCAGTCCGCTTTAATTGTTTTGACTGCGTCATTGCTGCTTGTGTCAGAAATGACCCAACTCCCTCTCCAACCCATGGTGTAGAGGGACTGGCATACAAGCTTCAAATGTCTCTATGGAGGCTGGGCTGTGAGGAGAAACAACCAGTAGACAGTGCCTTCTGCTCAACATTCCTTATTTTTCTTTCTTTTCTTGGATTTTGCTCCTCCTAGCTTTCACCCCAGTTCTGCTTGATTTTCTGGGGGTCTTGTTTTCCTGGTCATGAATGCCTGGCATTTGGAATGGGTTTGGCAGTTAGGTGAATCATAGAATCATATAATCATAGAATGGTTAGGGTTGGAAGGGACCTGAAAGATCATCTAGTTCCAACCCCCCCTGCCATGGGCAGGGACACCTTGCACTAGACCAGGTTGCTCAAAGCCACATCCAGCCTGGCCTTGAACACTTCCAGGGATGGGCCATCCACAACATCTCTGGGCAACCTGTTCCAGTGCCTCACCACCCTCTCTGTGAAAAATTTCTTCCTGATATCTAATCTAAACCTCCCTGATTTCAATTTGTACCCATTACCCCTTGTCCTATCACTACAGGCTCTTGTAAAAAGTCCTCTCCCAGTACCCTTGTCGGCCCCCTTCAGATACTGGAAAGCTGCAATGAGGTCTCCTCGGAGCCTCCTCTTCTCCAGGCTGAACAAGCCCAGTTCTCGCAGCCTTTCATGAAGGACTAATTCAACACATTAGCTTTTTTCCTTAGTAAATTCTATGAGGTAAAAGAAAGGCTGTCATTTTGCAAAGGACCTGCTCTTCTTCCTGCTCTTCTTTTCTCCTTTCTGACAAAGGTCTGCCCTTTCCCAATATAGTGCAGCAAAAGATAAGTTCTGCATAAATGTCTGTCAAAAGCAGGGCCAAAACATTCTTCTCAGCCACAAAATATAGGCCTTGGAGGGAGCAGCAGGGACAGGCACTCATGCTATTGGGTAGTCAGAATCTTTGTCACGTCTGAGTTTTAACAAACCTTGTTAAACCATTAGTTTGAGTCACCAAATGACCCTTTTCTTGTTTGTGAGTTCCTCTGGGTTCTTCTGTTGAGGGAAACTAATGAGAAAGTGGAGAGACAAAAGTGCATGTAAATACCATCCTTCCCAACAGTCAGTGTGTTCTGCATTTCCAGTGTGTTGGCAAAAGGCTTCTGTCTGTGTTACCGGCAGCAGCTGGCAAACTGATTATGAGGCACATAAAAGATGTCACACTGTCTGCTGTGGCTTGCTGCAGCACCTGAATCCAAGAGACTCTTAAAATAGCAGTAAATATGGGAGGAGAGGCTACGCTCAAGTGTCTGCTTTGCTGTGGCTGCTGTAATTTCTTCCTGGCTTCCCTTCTTCTCACTGCTTCCTAAAGTCAATGCTACAATGCCACCATGCAGAGAAAGCTGCATTAAAATACAAAGCTTTGCTTGTGAGGATAGATTTGGCCCAATTGCCCCCTCACAGCTGCTGAAATATAGAATGTGGGAATGTGTCTGAAAAATCAGTAAGTGTTAAAGGGCAGTTTTGAGCCCAGAGCTAGAGAGAGGGCTGAAAGAAGAGATGGGAAGGACTGAATCACTCGAGACTTGGAAAATTGGACAGGGAGCATTGTGAGCTAGTAGCCAGCGCCACAGATCTAGAATAGCCTGGGGAAGGGTTATTTTACAGACGATTGTCTGTAAAAATACCAGTTAGGACTAATGAGATTTATGTATGATGTCTGTGAACATTCCTTGAAGAGGAGGATTGTTGAACTACAGCCAAAAACCCACTAAATTTCAGAATGCGTCTGAGCCACAGCACACATTTCACAGGGGAAAATGTTATCAGTGTTGCCCCAGAGCAAGCACATCTTGTCTGAACTGAATTTAAACTTCAGCTTCTGTTGACAGGCCAGGTTTGCAACCGGGGTGATTTTTGGAGCAAAGTTGTCCAGATTCATGGTCAAACACAGAAATGTGGACTAGTTTATCTGAAGTAGATTTGAAGTCCATTTGAGACCACTACCTGTCTCTGGCAGCAACTGATAACATAATCTTCAGGGAAATATAGAAAAAAATTTGCAGTAGGTCTGTGTTTATCACACAGACATTACTGATGATTGTGACAAAATGAGGACAGGTCAAGGACTATAGGTTGTTTTTCAATGCCATACCCAATTCTTATACTCCCCTTCCATGTCAGTCCTGAGAAATGACTTGCCATAATCTGTGGAGAAGTTGAGCATGACTTGTTTTGATGTAGCGTGTGCAAATTTATCTGTGAAATGAATGTTTTGGAGTGCAGAAATCCTCCAAATTTATGTGAACTCATTCTGTGACCATTAAGGGTTGTTCAGCTGCCACTTCTGTACCTCAGCCTAAAATCTATTTGGATTTGGACTTCTTTAGTGTATTGGTCCCATACTTGTCCTCTTCCCTACTGTGCTTAAACACCACTGGGAGAGGAGTAATTTTTCTAGGTAGAGAAATGCCCTTCCTGTTTTTTCTGTTTGGAAGTCACAGAGCTTCACAAAAGTAATGCTGAAACCTGAGTGTGTGGAGTGGTGGGTTTTTTTTCTTTTTTTTTTTTAAATTATTATTATTATTTAAATGAGCATCAGAATTGAAGAAATGTGATTTCCTTGAATTTCCCTCTTATCTCCTACCTACAAGGTAGCCTTGCCTGCATGTCCCATAACTTTTCTTGCTGGGCAAGCAGCAACATGTGCTGTGACTGGTTGAGAGCTACGTGTGTGCCTGTGCTGTTTGTCCAGCTGTGCTTAGACATCATGTTTTGCCTGAAGATTGGTGGTTGTGATGTGGATGACTCATATATTTCAATTCCACTTCGATTTTCTTCAGACGTAAAGATTGGACTGGAGTTCATCATTACTAGTTAGTGGGCTTTCTTTTAGCCTTCAAGAGTTTTCTGGACCAACAATGCCGACTTAGTAAAGGGAATGAAGAGAAATGACTCTACCAATTGTGGAGGTAGGCTGGATTCCTTTAGGGAATGGTGCATCCAGGTTTGCTGATTGTTGTGATGTTTTTTCAGTCACCAGCTGAGTAACATTTCTCTGGGAAGATACCTTTCTACACAGCCATTGTTACCCACGCTGAGTTTTCTTTTGCTGATGCACAAAGAACTTTGCAGGCTTGGTGTCTGTATTTCAGTGGTGAATGAAGTCCCATTTCCTGGGTATTTGGTGTGGCAAAGTGCTTTTTGTCCGTAATATATGTTAGAGGAACACAAAATTAGGTCAAAGAGCATCTGGAAGCTTTGTGCCTGAGGTAACCTTTGTTTCCTTTTTGATTATAGGGTTGCATGCTTTTGGGAGGCAGAAAGACGACAGACATTCCACTAGAGGGTTATCTGCTGACTCCAATTCAGAGGATTTGCAAATATCCACTTCTACTTAAGGTAAACCGAAGAAAGTATTTCTCCAGATGTTTTTTTCTTTTATTCATGGAGTGATTCTGCAATTTTTTAGCCGACTTTTGTTGTCACTACTACCTTCCTGGTTTGCACTTCTAAAATTTGGATCCTCTCTGAAGAACACAGCTTTCTATGGGTAGTCAAAAAGCTGACTGATGCTGACAGGCTGCTAAGTCTTGTAATGGTGTGGGTAGACAGGGAGGCTAACTCACTGAGTAGTGCCTTCTGACTTCAGTTCTCTTCAGGCGTTTACTAAGGCTTGTGAGTGGTATTTCAGCCACTTCCTGAAAAGCTGCGTTCAGATAGAATTCTATCAGTGTTCTGAAGGACTGGATGGCTCTGGGGACTGGAAATGGGATACATCTTTCATCATGAGGTCTCTAGTTTGTGTTCAGGTCAGTAATGATCAAAATCCTGTATCATCTGACAGCTGTTTGGTGGCTTGTTTGAAAACTGTTTGCTTGTCTCAGAGGAGTTCCCAAAGGACGGGTGGCATTGCAGAAATGACTACTGCAATGGGCACTAATTGGCCCCTTTGCTAGTATTCTTACTGGAGGGGCTAAGAATAAAAGCCGTAGAAAGAGCTAACTTGCCTCTCATCCCTTCAGGTCAGGGCTGGGTCACTTGCCTGGTGGGGACAAGAAGGCAGTTACTGGGAGAGCTTACATCACCAATGGCTTTGTAGCTGCTCTCTGGCTAACGGTCATCAATCATCAGTGATGTCAGTCTCTTTCTCAATCAGAGTAATGTTACATTTACCAAAACAAAATTAATTAATAAAAAATAGAAGAAGAATTTACCTCGTATTTTGAAAGAAAGGTTCCTTCTTGGGTTGTGGAAGACAGTAAGAATTCTATGATGAGCTGCTACTCTTGGTCACAGGCTGACCACATGAATCGACTGTAACTCATGTAAAGCTACTGCAGTGCTGTGTCCATATGTTCAGCACAAATAAGGGTTTTCATAGGTACAAGCTGGTTAGTTCAATACTGATCTGTTGTTCCATTTAAAATTGTTTATTTAATCTGATAAATGTTCAAATTACTTCTTTCCATCCAATTGGAGCTTTCAGGGTTGAATTTTCAATATACGTCTGTTCTAGGGGTAGACTCATTGTTGTCTGTGCAGCTGTGCACAAACCCGTCTTGCAGCAGACACTGATGCACCGTTCCTTATGGATGCAGCTACCGGGGTCTATGTGTATACAGCCGGTTGGTCAGTCCACTTACTCTGTCCATGATTTCACTTACAGTTTGAACAAACAAAAGCACACAGAATTTAGGCACATAGCAGGAGAAGCTAATTTGTGAGACCGCTACAGCATTAATAATAGTCAAGATAGGGCAAGGATGCCTAGATCAGGAAAGCACGTTAAGTGACCCCAGCTCTGATTTATCTTTAGAGAGGACTGGTTATGTGGAGATAATTGAAAACCTAATGATGCCAAAGTTTAAGTCTGTCCACTGTGTTTATTTGGGGTTAGTGGGGAGAGAATTTGGTGCCTGTTCAGTCTGTAGATCTGCGTGGTGACTGAGCAACATCCTTGTGCACAGAAGGGGAATTCCTATAGTATCAGATATGGTAAACAGACATGAGAATGTGGGAACCTTAAAATGTGCATTCCTGACCAAGTATTTTGATAGTTTATGTTTTCTTGTTTTCACTGTGTGGTGTGTTCTGTGTTTGTTATCTGACTGTGTGTTCAAGACTGAAAATCAGAGATTGCTTTGATTCCTTACAGAGATCCCTGTTTTATTTTCCAAGAAACTTCAACGAGAGGACATAGTGGCTGGATTGTCACTTTTGAACTGACCCCTACATTTGTGCTGTTACGAAAATATGAAGTATTTATCTCCTGCAGTTTTCCTGCCATGGTTATCCTTTCTATAAAGGGAGTTATTGATGGGTACGGAGCTTGTAGACCAGGTTCCATCATCTATTTATTCTGTGCTGGAGACATCTTCATCCATCCATATTGGTCTGTATCTGGTGTACCCTCACTATGCTTATGTAGAAGTGATCTTTAACCAGTTATATCCCAGTAGTTTCCAAACTTTTTAGACCAAAAGATCACTGTTACCACTCATATTTCTTATATTTTCCTCTATGTCCTTGGTAAGCCTTCAGAAGCTCTGAAGTCAATGTGGTTTCATGTATCAGATTCAATATGTGGAGCACCACTCACCTCTCAAGCACAGTTTTGGGATCTCAGCTGAGTCATGTACATAAGAGAACTCCCTGTGTTTCTTCTGGACCTCAGTGCCTCCTCTTTTTCCCTTTTTAGTGTTACTTGGTTGCTGAAACTCATTGCTAATAAGACCTGTTTAATTTCTAAGCTTTTTGGAAAACATGATTATGAGTGGTAGATTTCTATCAGTTTGGATAGTCTGTTGACTTTTTATCTACATACAGAAGCTTAACTTGCAAATTAGAATCTCTGTTCTCTTTTAAAAGCTATTCAAAATATTAGAATCTCATAACCTGCCAGTGCTACCCATTTTCCAGAAGTCTGAGGGCTTTTACTGAAATGCCATGAGGATGCTGGCTACAGAAACACATGCAGAAGAAATGCACACCTTTGGTTACAAAGTAGTAGCATCATTGATTCAATGACATTTTTGTATTCTTCAGCTTCCATTTTCCCATTCCTCTGTACCTTTCTAGGGCAGGTCTTTCAAAACCTCTTACCTCAAAAAGTATGAGGTTCTGTATCAGGGATTGAAAGAGTTATGAATGGGCCAGTTTATCTTGCTTTTCTTTAAGAATTTCTTTTGTAAGGGGGGTAGTAAGCAAAAGACTAGAACAAAATAAATATTTTAAACCATAATTCAAATCTTTCCAAGTTCAGTGGTAACTAAAGTCACTGGGCTCTAGGGATCAAATATTGGCCTGTGGAAATAAACCGCGGGTTTCCACTTTCTCACGCTGTGTATGTCAATAGACCTGGGTACCCAAACCTTCCTTCTTTGAAAACCAAGGCCAGCAGGGCTTAGACCGAATCAGTGTTTCTTGCCTTCAAGCCACAGTGAGTTAGAAGAAAGTTAGATTTGTCCTCTGACACCAGCACTGTGCCCTGCCTTCTGGGTGGGGACTGTGGAGTTGGGCTCTGGGGTGGTTCACCCGGGCCCATGCCTGCTTGTCGAACAAAAAAACACGAGGGCAGCGAGTGTGAGGAGCTGTGCAAGGCATCTCGTGATGTTGCATTCCATTTTTCTATGGGTTTTCTTTTGCATACATGCTGATAGAAATCACACGCTGTTCACTACATGAAATGCCCTGTACAGGAAGTAGGAGTTTTAAAAAAAAGCTGAGGAGAATTTTATTTCAGTTAGGCAACAAATCTGCCTCAGTCAGTGAGATAATGCCGTTACCGGGGGTTGTTCAGCTCCAAGAGTATCTGTGGTTAGTTGATGCTGATTCTCAAAGGTAGTAAATTCACGGTGAATAACTTGTATCCCATTCAAGGCTTGTTTGATACTCAATAGCACAAAATTAGCAGAGTGGACGCACATGTTTCAGACATGAGAACGGCTAAGGGTACAGGCTGATCTGTTAGTGCTGATCAGGAGAATGTAACTCTCCCAGGGAGAAAAAAAAAGTAGATATAAAAATAACCAACCCTCAAATTAAGTGTTTGCTCTCCCTTTGCTACTGAGCTGCAGTTATTGCTCTTGAAATAGCTGTTTTGTATTCAAGGGGATTGAATCTTATTTTATCTCATTCCCAGGGCAAACAGATACTCTGTTATTCCAACTGATTAGAAAAGCCATAGACCAGAGCTATACTACTTTTTCCTCTTGTCTTTCATTTTTAGCAAGAGTTCATGAACATCCAGATTTTCTCATAACTTTGATATGACCTTGTCATAGCATAAGTATAGCATAAGTTAAGTAGTTAGGTTTGATAAGGACAGTATGAACGCAGTAATTCACTCGTCTGTGTTTGAAAGTCAACTGAAATAGGAGGGTAAGGCACATATTTAAAATATTATAAATATTTTTAATTAATACCTTATGTCAGTATTCTTCAGAATAATAGCATCTAGCATGGAGGTAATTTGTGTTACTTAATTAGGAATAATATAGTGAAATATCTTAAAGTGCAGATGCACCTTAAGAAATACTACCCATGATTTCAGATTTACGACTTGCAAATTTACATGTGTCCATGTTTTGTGAACCAAACTCTGAAGTTTTGAAGTGGATGACTGTAAACACTTTTTTTGGTTGTGGGGTTTTTTGGGGTTTGTTTTGAGTTTAGGTTGCTCTCATTAAAAGTCTGTCTAATGTACAAGCCTTATATATGGTTTGAAGGGTGAGATTCAAACCTAGCCATGGTGTTTCATAATCTCTGTACAAGTAGAGGAGTAATTATATTAATATTTTTGTGCCTAATACAGTTTTTATCTGCTTCAGATAGCATCCACAACAATTAACACAGAACTTCTTGGTCAGTAAATTACTTTTATTCCCAGTCCAAAACTTCCCTAATGTGACTTCCACTTCTTTTTCATACTGTCAAAGTTCAGCAAATTAATTGAAGTCTGTCTGGGGATGGAGAGTTCTGAGTATTTGTTAGCCATCAACTTCATTATAACATTTCCTTAAAAGTGAGAAGAGACTTGGACTAGGCTCACACAAAACAGCACTGTGGTTGCTGTGATGGGCACGAGGGTTCGGTAAGAATAAGCAAAGGCAAACAGATGCACAGACCTTGAGAGCATATACTGTGTGAGCGGCTTAAAACTCCAGTGCGTGTATGTACACTGGAAAGCTTTCTGAATAAATATTTCTAGCAGACCGTTTTGGATTAAGGCAGCTCTGTCTCACCGGTAATAATTACATGACTCTATTAATTAGGGTGAACTATACTACTTAAGAGTAGAAGCAGCTGTTGTGTAAACCAATCTCTGAACAAAAATAGCCTTTTTCCCTTAATAAAGAGCATTTATGTCAGCAAGTAGAAAACCCTATGGGAGTGGTGAT